CTTTCTTTTTCCTTTCTTTCTTTTTACTTTCTTTCTTTTTACTTTCTTTCTTTTTACTTTCTTTCTTTTTACTTTCTTTATGTAGATGGCTTAATTCGACATGGAACGTGTTTAAAACGAAGGCCGGTAAAATAATGTTCTCGCAGAAACATTATTATCAATGTAATACATACGAAGTGATATTACCAGAAAATTCGTCATGCCTGTATCGATCTTGCCCTTTTTTGGCACCCTTGTGGCTTCGATATCGGGCATCCACGTGACGAATTTAAACATTTCCGGATTTCGCTGTATCATCTGCCTCCACGTAAGATCGCACATGGTCCGCTGGTAATCCAGACAAATTTCTTCCATCAGCTAGAAAACGTAGCGATTACCGTCAAATATAGTAGCTACATAATGGAAATATTCTAGAAAACGAAATGTACGCAGTCTATTTGCAAAATACGTGGAAGAAGAAAATTGAGTTGTTCGATATTAGGAATATCAAATCCGTCAAAATCTCGGATTACAGATCCCTTGTACGATCACTGCAGACATACGTGTGCCTTTTTCACAAAAGCTGGTATCGACCGTGTAACAGGTATATGGAAAAACAGCGTGGAAAAAATCCAAGGAAATGTGCGAGAAAACAAGGTATCGTCTATACCGAATGTATAAATATTAACTTTAAACTTTTTGCTACTTTTGATTTTTTTTATTATTACGTTGTAAATATATACCGCTCCTTGTATATTTTGCATAAGTATATTGAAATATATTGAAATCTGAATGAAATCTTTTACGTACCAATATTACATATTTGTGCTTATATGTGGAATTATTCGTAGCCAAACGAACGATCGTTTCTTTTTCTTCTTCGTTCAACGTTTTCATGCCTTCCATTAGCATACAATCCAAATAGAAATGATACCTACGTAAGCGTGTTTAATAGCGTTAAAAGTATTCACGGGTCAGATAAATTTACAATTTTTAATAAAAAATTTAAAACTTCTCGGTACTTTATAGAAGCTTCGGCAATTCGTCTGTGTTTAATGGCCGCCGCCACTCTCTTCGCATAGATTCTTGGATCTTCGGCGAACAGACGAATGTAAATCCTCGGTATCTTAAAGTTGCGCTTTCTGCCGTCAAGCGTGAGCACAGTCCACAATTTCCTCTCGCGATCATAGTGAGTAACAGCAGCGTTGGTCCAAGCGAACAGCTTGTTCAACTGATCGTCCTCGAGGGAAAACATTTCGTCCTCGAATCGAAATCTTGGCACAAAAACGGTAGCCGGTAGCGGATAATGCGTTCCATCGATCACCCCAAGATTTATCCAATCTTCTACCGTCCTGCAATTGCATTTCGCCTCTTTTTTTAATATTTTTCACTTATACAAATCTTTCTTTCATTTTAACACATCAATATTTTTTATTTAATTTTTAACATTTTCCTCTCGATATTGCGATATTACTTTTACCACCGTATGTATTTTCATAGTAGCCTGAACCTAACCTAAAACATAGTAGCCCGTGTCCCCTGCCTACTTATGTTTTATAAATAAAACGTAAAAGTATAAAACAACTGCATTTAAATATCTCATCGACGCAAAAACTTAATTTACATTCTATACGTCTATTTAAAATTGTAATTTTAACTTGTGCATATTAAGAGCATTAAACTTTGTTAATAGCGCACCTACAGTCGTATTCTTCGTCGTCAAAAATTTCCAAAGGAAGAAAATGCGCCGTACTGAACAAACCGTATGCCTCTTCGTAAGTTAGTAGCGGCAATGTGGCAGACGGGGGTAACATTTGCTTCGGTGAAACACCAATTTCCTCCAAAACATCCTGGATTTTCAAATTCCTGTACAATCTGCGTCTCCTCTCCATCTCGACGTTTCGTGGAATTCGCTTGGGCTCCACATTTTGCTGCATTTGTACTTTCGGGACAAACGTCTCCGCCGGAAACGTCTATTTCACAAATGTTTCTTTGATCGTTTATCTTTTAACCAACTAGAGTCCATGATAATAGTGGTTAGGATAAATTATATGCAAATGTAAATGTAAATAATGATAAGCGAAATCAACGAGGATCAATCCTCTAGAATCTAGAAATTCCTTTCTATCGTTGTTACAGCTTTCATTTCTGGGAAATACGGAATAAGTGGAAAGATTTCATTGAGATAGCTTTGCATTGTAGCTCCCGTCTTGTAACTTTTATGATTATTTACGTTTCTTAACAGAGATATTATCTGTTCCGCGTAATTTCCTCCTTCGAAGAAAATCAAGATTCGGTTCTTCAAACTTCAAAGAATTGCGTTATCGATATAGAGTCGAACGAATACTTTTTCGTGTTATCTCGCTAACACGTCGATAATTCATTATCGAGCATTCTGGATTCTCCCCTATTAGTTTCTGTTGCTTACGATTGATCGATCTTCTGGAAAGCTCATCCATCTTTTAGCTTCGCCCAGGATATTATACGTTTCTTGATCCTGTAATTGTCTGACTCGAGCACTGTGATGTTCGGTGGAAACTTGCCAGGCGAGTTTCGTTCTTCTTGGCGCAGTCGCCAAAAGCACCACTTCCGGTTTCACAGCATGTTCCACGGTTCCTGTACGCACCGCCTGATTATTTTCACTGAATTTTTCAAATATTTTCATCGATTAATCGTTAATCACACCTACCCGTCACGATCTCCGAGTAATAACCCCTTCTTTTAATATTCTGTTCGTCCATAGTTTTACTTTTCTTATTATCTATTTTACATTTAAGAAACAAATCTTAACGTTACAACTTATGTAAACATCAACTTTTCAAATATTAGAACAGTAAATCGTGTATTGCTCAGTTGGCATTAAAAGTCACCACATAGATAACCTCAATTTCACACTTTAGATGCGATTTCAGCGTGAACTTGTCCATTATGTCACTCATCGATGTTTTCTTTAACTATTGATTTCAAGAATGTTCGATATATATATATATCAATATATATATATATATATATATATAGATATAGATATATAGATTCAATAAATCTTCTCCGACATTATTTAATTTGTGTATATCGTTTGTTAACAATTAGTAAAAATCGGAATTACTATGCTCATTAAATTTCAACTATAACTCGTCAAATTTATCTTTGCGAATAAAATCATTGACTAAACATACAGGATAAAGCTGATACATTATGCGAAATAGATATTCGGTGTCCCCTCACGTTTTGAAATACCGACCTCGTAAAAAATCGGAGTGTTTCCTACGCGCTCTACGATTTATAATCGTACGACGATCGTAATTGTCGTGCATAGTCCGTTTGATCGAACAAAGCTTTACTGCTTCGTACTCGTTTTTTAATCGCTTTCGTACTCGATTAAGTAAACTTCTGGTCGTTCAACTTCTCGAACTCGTTTATCTGAACGCGAACTACTCTAAATATTATATGAACAAAAGATCATAAGCAGCAAGGACGTAAGTAGTCGTCGCACCACTGGTTCAAATAGACGAAACCCTACCGGATAATCTGTAATTATTACAAATTGAAATATTATATATACGTCAGTTCGTTCCCCTTTAGAATGGGGGTGATCATTCTAGTTGACCAGTATAAAATTTTTCTCATAAACCGGCATTTAATATTTAAAGTGACGCTAACACGCTTCTAAATGAAAAAATACAAAAATTGTAAAAATAATTATTGTAATAAATTGTTGGAGGCGTCGACTTACCATACAAATCTTTAAATTATTAAGTATGATTCTGTTATAATGAAAAGATCACTTCTCGTCACATCGGCAAAAATCATCACCTTCGGCTAACCTATGTCACCGGGTATAAGTGCATATAATGTATAAGGAACATCCGACTGGCACTCGCGCGCGAGCCTAACTCTTATTGTTAGTTAAGTGGTACGGACGTGCGTCTCTTTGTCAGTACATAACTCATTTACAAATTACAGTGCGATTCTTTTCGTTATCAGTGATTATCCAATGATTTCTCCATCGATTCTTCCTTCGTTATCGATTCGTATTCGACACATTGATCGGAAAATTGAGCGAACGATCGTCGCCGAAAGATCACTCCCTCGACGATTTCGATGATTTTCGAATATATTTCGACCCTATGATCGACCCTAATCTTCGAGATATTCGGAAAACACTGCCGATACCTCTACAGCGAATTCTGCCTATAATTCTACGCCCGTTGCAGCAGCGTATGCGTTAGCATTGAATTGAGATCGAGATCGAGGTCGAGATCGAGAGACGGGCTCTCGAGATTTCGTGCATTCTCAAGTAGCACGTCCGATTCACAGCCTCCGTAACATTATAATTTTTAGAAATCATAATCATAAATATATTCAACTAGCTATAAGTACGGGTTATCATTTATTTGAGAAATCGTGAAAGAAATTATTTTCATCGTTGCTCTGCGTATTAACGAAATATTATTTGTCATCCAGAAAGGAGAATAAAAATATAAAAAAATAGGAGAAAAAGAAATCAACGAGACACGTTAAATAGTATAAAGTACGATAGAAAAATAATGCAACATCAAATACAGATAAATAAACATAAAAATTTTTATTTTAAATGCTTTAATTTATTAACTATAGATGGTTGACAAGTTGTAAATCATATCAATAATATAACAATGTTACTATATACCATGCTTCAAAAAAATGGCCTGATTGAAAGTATCGCGTAAATCTTTTTAAGCGGTTAAGTTTAACTTAGTTGAGATTTCTAACACAATTGTGTCGCATGAAAATATCATCAACGTTAATGATGCAACGAATTTTCATCTTAGAACAATAAGAAAATTGCGATAATAATACAATGGGAAAAATGACGAATGATGTTGCAAGATAGATGTAAACTGTAAACGAAGGTGAAACTTTTAAAACTTTTCTTAAAGGTTTCTCAGCAGGCAGATTAAGATTTCAACTAGAAGCAAATTAATCTTGCAACAGCGATTGCTAATCGATTTTGTGAGGTGAAAAAAGAAAGAAAATACTGATATTACTTACTATAGATTTTATTGTTATTACTCCTTACTTTATTTATTTTGCATTCAGTTTCAACGTGGTATTCAAACAATTCATTTGAAATGCGAGATTATAAAAAATCTTGACCCAAGACATTACATCGAAGTCACCTTATGATCAAATAACTCAACATTGAGATGCCAAGCGCAGATAAACATAACTTACGTATTTATATAAATTGTCATTAAAATTTAATGGAAAATAGGTATAACTTACGATTATCGTCGCAAAGATGTCCGAACAGTAAACAATTCAGTCGTTTATTATTTCTAATCCAAAAGTCAGTTACATTACTCGCGCGTACATAACGTTCAAAGGTTCGAAATTATACGCTATATGCAGGCGTTTATCGATATTTATTTCAAATCTCATAGAAATAGAATTCAAGGAATAAGCTTCAAGTTCCATAAACTTTGTACGATATCGGTTGCTTTTTCATTAAAACGGCTGATACTAATTGGAAGAAATCTTACGGTCAAATTCGTGCATACGCAAATGAGATTCGTACTTAAGTAGGCTAAACATCGTCCTTTACAGTTCTTTTATCATGTACAAATCACGTATATTAATTTATACTCGAAGATTTACGTTGAGTGTAGATAATACTATCTTAATCTCGTTCTCACGTCGCGTGTACACATTCGAAAAGGAAGACATTATAGGGGAGAATACAAGCGAGAAACTCGAACTTAATGCACAATTGCACAATGTTCATTTCTACGTTGTATCACCATCATATATGTACTATACACAGTATCATAATGCACGCGCATATTGCCACAAAGATGAATATCTTTCAAGTTTACCCCTCGTTATTTTACTATTTATTATTATTTTATCAGTTTTATTTTATTTTCCTTACTATTACCTAGTAGTACCAGTTAATAAGATGTATTTAAAATTAGTAAGATTGTTAAAATGGGAAAGGAAGGAAAGCACGAACGAGGACAGAAAAAATAAAAATGACAAATTCAATAAAGAAAAGGAACAGAGAAAAGGAAAGAAATATATATACTAGCGTTAATGTCAATTTCGAGATGTCGTTATAACAACTGTCGTACTTAGCTTAATTAATAAATCGTCTTGCACCCTTAACATAAGCAAATATTGTAACAATTACTGATATCGTGCATTGTCAATATAAAATGTGACGTTTTACAAGATACTATATTATATTTATCCTATATTATATTTATCCGAAACGATGAATCGAACAAATGATTTAACGAAAATAAACGAAATTTGTACGAGACTAATGTTGCAGATATTAGAGAAACAACTAACAAGGATAAGAAGGAGATCCTACTTATTTCTATACTGTATTACTTTACATATACATATATCATTATTAACAACATATCCGAGAAATACATATATGTAATAATAAAGGATATATTAGAATAGGTAATCATATAAAAGCAAGTAAAATTTCGAAAACAAAGGGTCATAGAATCAATATAAATAATTCAATTTCAATTCACATAATAATATAGAAACGTGTAACACGGCTGTATAGTATTATCATAGGTTGACACTTTTCTGATACACAGTGCACGCGTTCGATTCCACGATATAACACGAGCGCTTCTAATAAATGTATATCCAATAGTAAACTAATTACATATACCTATATAGATGATAGGTCCTATGATGTTACACACTAGAAATTTTATAGAACGAAAAACAAAGATCATATTACAGATAGTGATTGAATTGAACCGAACGAAGTTTTAAGATTTAGTTAAATGTACACTTTCTAGTTACAAAAATAATTCTGCAAGGTTCTCAAACGCTTCTTGTACAAAATGTTTATAAGCTGGTTTCAACGTACACGTTATGTAATGATCGTAAGCATGAATCGTTACAGCTGCACTTACCAGTAGGCTACATTTAAAAACGTATCGTATAGAATCGTTTCATCAACTCGATTATTATTAATCATGCGCGGATCTATCTTCGATGAAACATGACTTTTCTTCATCGCCAAATATTGATCCATCGTCCGATAACTCGTTCGTATCGACTACCAATTCTTGTTTCCTTTTATTTCGATTCTTTTTATGTGATCGTTTGATAGAAGTTTCCTGTAACAACTTCATATAAGCTTTCGTCTTTAAATAATTCGGTGGTGTCACGGTCGTTGATATATTTTCCGCGCTGGTACTTGGACAATTCTGATTATCATCAGTCGTATGGTTCATCAAATTTTCCACGTTATTGACCGATTTGTCGTACATCGGCTTATTTATCACATCATCAGCGATAACGCAATCATTTGAAAATTCTAATGGATTATACATTTCATTCCCAACACTTTCTAACGATGTCTCATGTTTCTCATCTATGGAATGATTATTTTTCATTGCATTGAACATTTTTCGCGAGCTGTTTCCACGTTTATTCTTTTTGTGAGATTTTTTAATGGAATCCAGATTAGGATACAATTCTGTAGTCGACATATTTCTTGGAGTCAATCTGCCCGTTACATCGTTCGAATCGCAATTCGAATCGTATACCTCCTCTACATTTTCATTGTCAGCATTGTCATCGGACTTTGTTATTATATCATCTTTTTCTAACTTTACGCAACTATTCGGAAAATTTAGTACAGGTGTTAAACACCGTGAAAAGCTAATGCTCCCCACAGTGTCATCCGAACGCTCATTTTTTTCAGATGCTAAATCGTAAAAATGCGTATATTCCTTAGCAACTGTAAATGCAAATAATGATCTTTTCCTTTTAAGAGGCGTGAAAATTTTAAATTCTTCTTTCGATGTATCCAATTCTTGTAGTTCAAAATCATATGACACATTTTTCTCATGATCCAGCGATATATTCTGTGGCTTCTTCCTTTTGCTCGGAGATAATTTATCCAGAGAAGAACTTAAGCTGGCAGATGCCACTAAAGATGTAGAATCCTCGATATTTCTAACAACATCTAAATCCGAAGGAAAATCTTCAATGCTGTTTTTACATTCGGATATTTCATCATTAAATGTTCGTTGCTCGTATTTGTTATTTGTTACTAAATCCATATCTTTATTGAAGTATTCTTGTCGTTTTAAAAATCCACATAATATTTTGTTATGCTTGTCCTTTTTATGGGACTTTTTGACAGAACTAAATTGCGACAATAAAAGTCTGCTAGAACTCACCTTGTCAGGAGTAGATGATCGCTCGTCTCTTGATACATCAGGATTATTCACCTCTACGGATATTTTATTTTCTTCTGTACTTTCATACTGTTCAAAGTTTCCCAAACATTTTGCATTCTCTTCTTTTTCCGTAGCATCGAGTTTATCTTGTAAAACTTTTGGACTGAACAATCTCCTTTTATTATTATCTTTAATTTTTTTATGAGACTTTTTTATGGAATCTTTACTGATTGTTTGTAAAATGTTGATACGATTCTCAGGAGTAACGGACTTCTGCGATTCTGACACAGTTTCTTTCACTGGCTCCGGGGTTACCGATCTACCAGCCAAATCGATATTTTCGTTACATAAATTACTTGCATCCATATTGCTACGATCAGAAACGTCAGCTCTCGAAAAACTATCCGCACTCTCCTCCAATTTTACTTTAGCATCAAATTTATCTATTTTGGGTATAACACTAGTATAATTCGACTTCCACTCAGATACTTTTTTAGATTCCTCGAAAATATGCTTCTGTTCTTCTGTGTAGTCAAAAAGTGAACCTGTATCTGACATATCATCTTCGGAGTGGCTTAATACCAATTCGTTAGAACTTCTATTAGCACATTGCTCTATATCCGATCTAGAATCTTGAAATGGATCAATCTGTTTACTATATCGACTAAATCTATCTTGAAGTACGCTCTCGTTTTTTACAAAACTATCTGTAAATTGTGTTGTATAGCCATCGCTGCGCCTTGACGATCTTTCCTGCGTATAATATTACAATGTACAAATTAGTGATAACTTCGAGTTAATGCATAAACAATATAACTATTTATTTTTAATTCTTAAGAGACAAAAGCTATTAACTAAGAGAAAGATATTCTCGAGTTCTCTTTCCTTACCTTCTTGTGACTTCTTTTAATAGCACTCATACTTTCTGGAATTATACAAATTAGATTTTTTGGTGTGCACGATCTATTGTCATCTTTATCGTGAAATTCATGAAGAAGGTTCCTCGAAGTATTCATGGTAATATTATTTGTATATTTTGTTCTGCCTTTGACACGTTTTAATGACTGCGAATTGGGTGTCGCGGCAACATAAACAATGTTGTCGATGGTCTCCTTCAATCGACTACGTAGTAATGGTGTAAAACTTGCTGAATGACATGACGATTTTCTAGTATACTTCGCATTAGGTGTAGAGTAATGCAGCATTTCATGCTCCTTTGTACTTTGTTGCAATGGTGTCTCATTTTGGTTTTCGTCGATTGAATCAGAGGATGAAAATAATAAAGTACTATTTGCCGAGTCGCTAGGATTGTCATTGAGATTCAAAAATTTATTAGGAACAGACAGAGGAGAGCTAAAGTTCAGGCTCAAAGATTTTCGTATACCTTTCTTCGCGTGCCTAAAACTTTTTGGACTAGGAGTTAAATTAAAATTTAATGACTTTTTGATTTTTGTTTTTCCATAATAGGTAGGACTACTATTGAAATTTAAAGCTCTCATTATCTTAGCAGATCTAGATAAATGTTTGTCTTCCTCGAAAGAACTGTTTTCTGAATTGGAATTACAGGCACTCGCATCAAAATTCAAGGATCGACTCAGCCTGTACTTAGCAAGACGTTTGCTTTTATGTGGAACTGATCTACTACATGTTATGTATCTATGTTTAAATGAGAAATCGTTCTTTTCTAGAGGGCTCCATGCTATAAAGCATTTCTGATCCATCTCGTAATTCTCTGTAGTCTTATCAATATTCATATTTGCAACAGCCGTACAATCATCAAACGTAATTACATTCGATATGTTTTAAACATAAAGATTAGCATGTAAATATATATAGAGAAAAGTTCTTTCATTCACAACCCCATATGGTTATAAATTTCTATTTCTACATATGTGTAGACAAATAGTAATAACTACTAGGAAATATCAATATTAAATCGATATTTAAATTATTTCGTGACACGTTTTAACCATTACGAATGATTTGTCCAAGCGCGATTTTCTCCCAAAATACAGATAATCTCCATTCTATGACACTGCAACAAAACAAAAAGTTAGATATTTAAGATGCAATATAAATTTTGAAATGCTATATACTGTTCATTTTAAAAGTAATAATGTTCTATTCGTACAATATTTTGCATAGTAATTCTTTTAAATTCCAGTTAATTTCTAAAGTTTAAGCTCAAAATTTGTTGAAATTAGATCTTTATATATTTTTCCGTCATCTTAGAATATGGTATATGTATATGTATATGTAACTTGTGTTCCGATCGACGCACATACCATATATAATAATACAATACAATATAATACGTACGTGCAAATAACCCTCAGAATATAATTTTCAATTACAATATATACAATGCATCAATACAAATGCACCATGTATTAATTACATATATCATAATTACAAAACGAGTACCAACTTTACAGAAATTACCTACAGAGTTTTAAGTTACGTGTTTGGGGTCAAAGTAATATAAACTGGCCGTCTTCGCATAGAAAGATCATAAATTATCGAAAATCGATTCTTCCTTTACCACATCTTTCTCTTCTTTATGTATTGAACCATATATACGCGAAAATCCAAAATTCTATTTATTCGATTACAAATATGCATATAAAAGACATCAAGTGTAACTATCAAGCACTTCACTTTATACAAAATCCAGCATGGCTTCGTATGTCTTCTTCAAGCATTTCAATACGTCCCCCTTTAGAATCGGTACAGCATCATAGTATAGCGTACAGAATAGATGGCGCTGTATATTTCCCATTAATTGCTCTACTCTACTTCCTATTTATTTTACCTTAGATACGTCAGATTATATCAAACAACATCAGATATTAAAATTGTCTATACGAAAATATTTATTTAAAGAATTTATATGGTAATATGTGTAATTGTGAATGTGATAATAATAGAGAAAAAAGAAAGGATACTTGGGTATGGTATCTTTAGGATATAAAAAGAACGTTTTTACCATATCAGATTTAGCGAATTGAAGAACGCGTACCACTGCAATTCGATCGTATCAGATATACATATGCATTAAGTAAATTTACCAAAGTAAAGTGGGCATTATAAATTTTAATATGAGCTTTATTACGACCTTGTACTCGATAATGATGTAACTAGCTGGATGTAAAAAGTCAATTTGTTTATAGTTTGCCAGAGGATCATGGTAGCGGGACGAGATCCAATACTCCGCAGACCAACATATTTTGTTAATACTAATCGAACTCGATAATAGGGCATAATTACATTTTTTATACCCCATGACGTAGATATAAAGCCATAAAAACGAACCGAAAGCTGCTGTATTTAACCATATAGCGGCTGGTTGTGTTTCGGCAGGACAGTGTTAAAATTCGTTTGTAATATAATTACTTTTGGTCTGCGGCCTTCGGCATGATAACAGGTGAAACTGTTTTGTTTATACGTCATAATCAGCCTTCACCTCGTCTTTCGATGACATAATTCAAGCATGTACACTGGTACTATTCAAGTATGCTTGTATAATAAATTTGTGCGTGTATAATAACGCTCAAGTATGCAGTTACATGTGTAGTCGGCTGAAGTGTACACGCACAATTTTGTAGGTAATTTTATTCGAATAAAAAGACTTCAAATTTGAATGTGAAATTATATCCATGAAAATATAAAATATATTTGACCCTATTAATTCAAATACGCATTGAATAGTTGATTGCATTCTAAACGGTATAACAATTTCTAAAAATATTAAATTTTGAAGAATATAAAGTTTTACCTCTTATATTAGATTATAACAGAGAGGAAAATATCACGGTGCAATTAAATACTTAGGCACATAATAAAGACTTTAACTTATTCGTTATAATGTACATACTTTTATTACATGTATGGTACTTTCAAATTTTTAAAATTCGTGTAACAAAAAGATTTCGACATTTAAATTTAATATCAGTCGGTATATAATAAAATATTGTAACACTAAATTACATATTTCCAAATGGCTTAATACCTTGATCATTTGAAATTGCTTCATTAATAGAAGAATGGCTGACAACAGTTTCATATAATGTATGCGTAACTCGTGAAAGTTATATAACGTATATTTATTATACTGAGGATTATAGAACATAGAATGTTATATCCAAGATTATACGAAGCTCTACTGTTAATGAAGAGTAAGGGAAGTATCAACGAAGTACAAAATCCAATTAATCGTACTTTCGTAATAAAATTATTTACATATACATCAACTTTTTTTTAATAATTCTTCAGTTCGGAAAAGATAAGATTATTATTGAAACTGTACAATGAGATCGTATTCATCGGAAAAATGTAATACGTTGAAATACTTCGATGAAAAGTTAAACGTGCCTAACATGAAAACTGACGATGTATTCTGCGTTTGTTCGTTGAACAGAAATAGCAAATGGATCTGTTGGATGGAAGGTAAATGCAACTAGTCGTCTCGCAGCTGTAGGTGTTGTACGACCTAACATTCCCGCATACATTCGAAATTTTAAAAGACCAGAATCACGAGCGTAAAACCTTTAAAAATAATGTAACAGCATTAATAGCATTAAATAATTGCGTTTAAGTATCAATTATCATTACAAAAAGAACAATTTTAACATATATATACGTGGAAGTAATTTTAATAACCCTTGGCAATTTTTCATATGAAATTTATACATTTCATAGATTTAGCAAGTAATTCCCAGAAATATCAAAAGTCAAATGGAAACTATACCGTATAGGGTGTTCGCCACAAGCTTTGGGACGCTCCATCATAGATACCCATTTGTCATCGTAACAAAATAGGGATAAGTCAAGGTACGGAGAACTAGAGTAGGATTGAGCGCATATAGGCAATTGAGCAAGTAATCTTTTCGTAGCTTCTGTAACACCACCGTATCTGGCACTTATTATTGTTTGTTTAAATCTCTGTTGTAACAATCTGTAATAAAATTATGGATTAATACTATTTTTTAAATATTTTTGAAAACTGTGTGGTATTTTTGCACACCACTGGCGCATTTCCTTATCAGTAATTGCTCGAACTTGGTCACGCTGGATGCGACGTCCAAAAGGACAGGCAATAAGAATGAAAACGATACTATCTGTAAAAAATGAAATTTATATAACTCCCTTTTTTTTCTCACAACATAGAAAGTGTTAATGATCCAGCGACATTTTTTCTAACTAATATAATATAATATATATAATATAAAACCATAAATAAGTCATAAATCGAATTATTTAAAGAATTATTGATAGTTAAATAGGAATAGATGAGAAGATAGTTATTTGAACATTTGAAAGTACAATAGCGTTTCCCAAAAAAATAACCAAGTGAAGATTGAAACGTCGAGTTGTATAGCGTGTCATCTATAATTTGATTGCAACTGATTTTTTTATCCTGTGCAAATTAAACAAACTATTTCTTCTGTTTTTGCATATATGCGCAGATAGGTTTATATTTTTATAATTTTTAGCACAGCGAATCCTCAAATTTTCCTCATTCAAAAATTCTGGTAGTTCTAATCCTGAAAGTGAAGTTCGACTTTGGTCAGTTTAATTGAAATCAGAAAAATCTCGCCAAATTATTAACAATTCTTACATTGTAATGAAATAAAAATTATAAAAATTTCACTTTTCACGTATCAAAATGATGGCACACCATTTGTTGCTTTAAGCATCAAAGCGCTAGTGTTCTGGTGTTAACTCACATGAGTGACGCCAATTGCCGAGAGTTGTCACATTATGTGAAACACCTTGAATCGTACTTTGAAACATTACTATATTTGATTGATAATTACGTTGAGTGTCCCTAAATTATATGACTAAAGTATATGTGTATGCGAAAGGGAATGTTCAGTTCTTTGGGCGTTCGAACAACAAGAATTGAACATTGGCGTCCGAAATAAAATATTTCCATATTTCGAAAATGATGAAAAATCTATGTGTATACACACACACACACACATTTAATCTTGTTTCACAATACTGGGATATCCTGTATATTACACTGTACTCTCGTGAATATTATACCTTGCATATATATTGTTAGATGGAGAACACATATACTGACAATCACCACTCATTCTAGCATTCCTGAAGAAATCACTGAAGTTTTCAAATTGTGTTAATAATTGTGTGGATGTGTTATCATATGCAGCTAATATTTTAGCAGTGACCATATCATAAACTACCAGAAGTGCAGGTTGTACATTAGGTTCGTTTGCCTGAAGCGTCGCCACTTCTTCACTTGCGAATCTCACAAGAACATGATTTGTATCTAATAACTGCATTTTCCACATTCGCAATGCGTTTAACTGAAACATTAAATTATTATGATAACATATATTCAGAGCACCATTATGCTTAAGATTTTTATAATAAACGTATTCAAATTTTATACAATACTTGGTCAAAATATTGATAAAAACGTCTCAACTCATATGGATCCTTTGTTGTATCGCTAATATATGCCGCCCTTTTGTACAAATAAACTAATAATTTATGTTTAAGACAGTTTATTGTGACATCTCTAAACGGACGACAGTTCACTCCTGGACATGCACTTCTGACCAAATACGCATCATCCTCTAAACAAAACCTGTTTCCAACCAAAGTCAGTTATTGATAATGCAACAATAGTTACTAAAATAAATTTAAAACAAAAAATGTCTTTTTATAGAAGTGGTACCTTCCTATTGTTCTAACATTGATAAACATTCCATCAAGGATTTGAAATATATGAATGGTTTGATGTTGTACAGACAGTACTGCCAATATATCTTTATAAAGATAGAGACCTACATAAATAAAAATGTTTGTTGATTGATTTGAATAAATGAAATAGACACGTTATTCATGAGCAATATTTAATTAAGATTATGCTTGCCCTGATTATGAGACAAATATATTTTATCTACTTTAAAATGTCTAGTATCACACAATTTCCCTCCGTGTAAATCGACAAGGTGTAAGCTATAATCTTCAAGAGGTGATCTAGGATTTGGAGTCAGCGCTTCATTGTTAGAATAAATCTTAAAGAATAAAATTTAATATTATCAATCCTTAATAATTGCAGAACTAATAGCCATATGATAACATCTTTACCTGATAAAAATGTGGTCTCAATTCATCTGGAATATGTGCAGCTGAACCAACAATTACATACCGGCCATCGTCTGTAAATAAACTGCATTCTCTGTTCAACTGTTCATTACTTTGAACCACATTAACAATCCATTTAGCCTATAAATATTGTAATAAATCTTGTTATTTATTTTAGTTAATAAAAATTGATCATTCATAAATGAAGCTATGATATTAAAAGATTAAAATTAATACAATACACCTTAAAAAATCGACTAAAAATGTTCCTTCTAATTTGGAAACTACATTCGTCGTTCTTATGACCAATATATTCGCCTTCACAATTTGCTAATAAATCAGCAGCCGCAGATGCACCACGATATTCATAAACCTCTATAGAAGTTTGGTCTGCGCTAAATGCTATTAAATAACGACCATCAGGACTAAATTTCCTAAGGAAACACGGAGGTTTCTCCACATTCATAACAGTGAAATTTGGAAATACATTTTGATAAAATTGTCTAGCACAGTGTACGTGTGTTCCTGGATAAGAACAACCAAATGTTTCCCGACGTTTCAGGCGTAATACTATATTCTGTGGACCTATTTTACGAGGTTTAATAGGGCAAGGTTCTGTCACGTATTCAATCTTTGCCTCCTTTTCAGCCATCCCTTGCGAATATTACGAACATGTATCAGATTATTCATTTCACTTGATGTACACGTACGTGTAAACTGAACAACATAAAAGTGCCTTCTATTTTTTTCTTTATAGAAATAGATCAAACCCTATTCTCTTGGTTATGTTCCATATTTCATTTAAGTTTGTAAGGATGAAAGTTTTAAGGTTGATTTTACGTTAGAAACGGAAGATAATCTTATATTTGTAACATTATTTATGTTACTAACATATTCTACTCAAAATTTAAACAATTCATATGACTTTAAATCAACATGAGTTTTCCCCCTTTCTTCTATGCGAAGCGATCTGCTATATTAGTTTGAATACACTTTGCATCTAAATCTATCTATTTCTTTTTGCGCCTATTTTCTTACTGTACAACTTGTGTAACCGTATCCTGATTTAATAACTTTTAAGATATCAACTTGTTCATTCTTTCTGTTTTTATTGTTATATTTATAATGATCACTTCATTATTTTACAGCACTTTATAAGAATTACTTTATTATCACAAAGATACTATACTCATCTATGCATAGCGCATCGTATGTATATCGCATACACGCATGCGCGTATGTGAATCACATACTGATTGACCTATACATATATGAATTGGCATAACTTTATTAATAATATAGACAATAGATCTTCTAATATTTAGGATCGTTCGTATAAAAATAAGGAATATAGATGAAAATTGTTCAGTATTTTAATAATAATCTAATAGAATTCTCAATTTTGAATAGTGCTTACTAAGAATATCTATAGAACTCCTATATATACATTTAATTGCATGCAGAATATTTCTCAAATAAGATAGTCCTATTAATACTATTTGCTGATACTACTATTATCGCCATTATACTTGTATTCTATATATATATATATATATATATATATATAGAATATTGTATTCTATATATATATATATATATATATATATATAGAATATTGTATTCTATATATATATATATATATATATATATATAGAATATTGTATTCTATATATATATATATATATATATATATATAGAATATTGTATTCTATATATATATATATATATATATATATATAGAATATTGTATTCTATATATATATATATATATATATATATATAGAATATTGTATTCTATATATATATATATATATATATATATATAGAATATTGTATTCTATATATATATATATATATATATATATATAGAATATTGTATTCTATATATATATATATATATATATATATATAGAATATTGTATTCTATATATATATATATATATATATATATATAGAATATTGTATTCTATATATATATATATATATATATATATATAGAATATTGTATTCTATATATATATATATATATATATATATATATATTTTATGTTATCTGTTAAATATCTGTAACAGTTAGATTTTTTTCAACAAAAACCATTTATTTATTTTCAAGTTTGTTTACAATCTTTTGCAATTAGATAATATTTATTTATGTAAATTGAATACATTATCTTTTTTCCCAATTACAATGTTTCATCAATTTTCCACTTATCATATTTAAAAACAGACAACATAAAGAATTAATGAACTCTTTATATTTTATTATATATACTGTGCAAACAAATCAAATTTCATTGATCTATAAGAACAGCAACACTATAATTTATTACACGTATATGACGTAATATGGCAAATTGAAGAAGTGTTTATATGTATATTGATATTGCAGATAATTATTACCTGTATTGTATACTATATTGAAATCTATAAAGTTTAACATGATACATATCCGTATCTAAATGCTATTCACATTCTCTACTTTATTCATATATCTATGATACTTATTTCAGCTGATTATCAGCTGCGAATTACGAACGATCAAATTTGCATCTGTACCAAACCCGTGTCAATTCAATGATAAATAAACAATTCGTTTATTGCGCTAATAGTTAATGTAATATATTTATGCTCGATTTTATGATGAGAAGAGTAACATAAATTATATAGGATAGTATATAACCGTATTTGAGAAAGAAAGTACAACTTCAAACAAGTACACAAATATCATGATCCATTCTACTTTTCCATTCCTCACAACTTCCATTGTAAGGTCTCTGTAATTTTGTTTCATAACCAATTCTTGCGTGTATTTCATGCACCAGCACAAATTGTATAGGATATTTGTTAACGATCAAAATAAAATGAAATATATCGATAACAATTTGTAGTACAATACTGGTGCAAACACTTAGTTTCAAGAAAAGAATGTAAATAAGAATATTAGTGGCTAACTTTTTGACAATTCTTAAAACTCAAAGAAACACTCGTACATGTATGTTACAATTAAACGGCATAAAAAAATCAAGATCATATGAATGAAAAAGAAAAAAAAAAAGAAGAGTGTGCCAGAAAGAAAATTGATGCATAAATTTTCAATTAAACTGTACACAATTAAAACCACTAACGTTTCTTCCATTATTTTTATATATAACACACTTCCTATGCTTAGATTATGTTACAGTGTTTTTTCTTCATTTCTCATTTTGCAAACATTGTTGTAATCACCTTAAATTTATTAAACATCCAAATTCAAACTTTTATAAAGAAACATACACATTCTTCTTAAATTTCTTACTTATTTTTGCAAACTATGAAATTGTGTATATGCAGGCGCGCGCGTAAATAAATATATACATATATATAGCAACAATGATTATCTCAACTATAAATACGCACGTCTTTGTTTGACCCTTAATGTTCATATCTCGTTATAATTCATGCAAAGCAACACATGCAAGTTGTAATTTTATATTGCGTTATTTTTTCTTGATTCACATTACACTGTTGATTGAAGTATAAAGCTTGAAATTTATATTAGTGTCGAGATACAATATTGATATATATGAGCATCGCTCGAGTGAACAGTGCCAGGAAACAAATTTGAAAAAAGTGAAAAATAGACGCATGTCGTGTGTGTATATTTGCGTGTCCTGCTGGGTAGAGAAAATATTAAGACAGGATAATCAATCTCAAATCTCACTCGATGAGTTACTACTGGAGTTATTACCACTCGAGGATGAAGGTGATGATGTTCTAGTATTATTTGATTCGTTGGTTGCCCTAGAAGTAAATAGATATAACTATGAGACTTTTATACTTTCTACATAATGTGAATATTCAAATTCTTAAAATGTATAACTTCCATGTATTACATATATTTAAAAATATCAAGTGTTACGTTATGTTTATGTTATCACTGTGTCTAAGTAAAAAATTTAAGCTTTATATAGGTAAAATATTAATAACATACCTAAAGAGAGCAACTAAGCTACGTCCTACGGTATCCTGATGTACTTCTGCTGAATTTTGACTTCCCAAGTGCTGTCTACAAATAGGGCAGGTACCATGCTAAATGCAAAAAAAGAAAAGAAAGAAAAACATCACGAAAAGACATTTGTACCACCTCGAAATAAAATTGAACTCTTCGAATTTTTTTCCAACTTACCAATTCTAACCATGGTACAATGCACGGTGTATGATATAGATGTAAACAAGGAAGTTGCTTAACTGGTTCAGAAAGTTTGAAGTCTTCCCAACAAACGGAACATTGAAGTTTACTATCTGTATGTATAATTTATAAAATATAATTTATTATCAATGTTTAGATTAATTTTTTAAATTATGAGTTACAGTTACAATATACATATGTACACGTTTTACTCACCCACATGACATTGACTCACAGTTATAGTTGGTATTTCATCGATTTGTTTTCTCGGTAGGGGAGGTGGTCCAGTTCCATCAATTTGATTCAATAATTGCGTTACAATCGCGTCTAAGCCATCTTGACCCCAGACATAATCTCCAGGATTTCCCAAGAACAGTCTAATATTGAATCTACATTATTGTGCTTTATTTTAGTAATACTAAATATCAAACAAAGCAATAATGACTTTTATCCTGGGTGAACAAGCTTTTAAGTGCTTCTATCTATGTTTATTTATACATATCTAATGTTTACTCATATGGTATAATGCAAGGAAACAATGTAAGGCACAATACAAATTAAATAAAAATGATTTTTCAATTTATGATCCATGATCCTGAATTCACGTAATAAATTTAACATATTTTATATTAATAAATTTAACGTATTTTGTATTAACACACACACACACAAACACACGCACGCACGCACGCACGCACGCACGCACGCACGCACGCACGCACACACAAGATATAGTATATATTTTATATATATATCATATTTAGATTTATTCAATAGATAGATTTATTCAATCAATGTTCGACAGAAAATAAAAGTCGTTATAATAAAGGATATAAGCCGTTATAATAATTTTTTCGAAATTTCATTGTCATTTTTTATATATTTCCATTAATACCGCTTATTAATATCTTTTCCACGTAACATATTCTCAAGTTACTTCTATTTTTATTCAGTTATTTCCATCCTTTCTAACAATGAGTACTACATAGCATGTGATTATTTGTGTGAAATTGTTCAAATTTTAATCCATTATAAACATGTAAAATGAACGAACATATGCTCATATACGCGCAGCGTACGCATATATACACATAAATCAGCTTAATCTATTTATATGCTATTTAAAAAATATTATATATAAATATAAAGAAAAGTGAAAGTTACATACACAATTATATATTCTATATAATACTTAAAAATAAACTATTAACTAAAATTTGATTCTAATTTCATTGAAATTCTTATTAAAACGCTTATACTTATCTTTTTCTTAATAAATACCATGATATCCTGTTTTATATGCCAAATAAAAATATTTTACATGCAGATGAACTAAAATTGGAAAATTGCTTTTGAATTCACTCAGGATAATATTCTATATAAATAACATGCAAATCTCTCTCTCTCTCTCTCTCTCTCTCAAGATAATTTTACATAAAGCGTGTGGTTCCCTTTTTTATATTATACAAGTTAAAAGATTTGATTTGCCTTGAAAATCTTCTGAACTTGAGCAATTATATGCATACATGCTTGTATACATTAGATAAATAAGAATAAATGTATAATAAAGATTAATATTATACATACACAGGTAGTTGTGCAGCTTGTGCTACTCCTTCTGAGAGATTAAGTATAAAATCTTGTATGAAATTCTCTACAGACACAGGCATTACTTCTTGTCGTCCACGACTGCTGTTCAACATAAAAATAACCAATCATATCCATACGTACCGCAGAAGTTGGTAATAAATTAATTATGTTTATTAATTTTCATTTTTATATAAATAACTTTTGTCTTTAATATACTTTACACTTACGTTATATTAAAATAATCAAATATATCATTACCATAAAAATACATACATGGCACTAATTATTTAATTAGAAATTTTAACGTGTAAACACTGTGAGCTTTCAAAAAATTAGAAGCGATATACCTATTAGAACGACGTGTATCTTGAGCATTACGTGACCAATGAGTTCGTCTCCTACCAGCGGGAACGTTATTTCTAACAGGTGTAGAACTAAATGGTGTTTCAAACTGATTGGAGATTTCTGTCTCATATTCCCCTCTTAAAGGAACATCTGCGTAACGTTCCCAAAGCTACATAATAAATATTTGATCAAAACAATAATGAAATACATCAAAATATAATGAAGTTACAAAATTAAAATATTAAGATTTAAAAGCAATGGTCATTTCATCTATAATGCATCTATAACGTTATTTACTATTATGAACTGAGAAATAATATTTACATCATCCGCGTCATTAGTAATATGCATTCCAGATCCACTGTCACTGCTATCGCTTTCTAATTCCTCTATGAAACCACTCGAACATCTTGGACACGTGTAATCCTAGAAAATAGATTAAACATTATATCAAGTTATAATCGACAACGATCATTCGTGTCATTACAACACGATTCCAATCTGTTTCGTAGATTAATTTGAATAAATATAATATACAGGAAATAACTTAAATCTTTCTATGTTTCTTCTCGCGTATCTGTCAAAAATACACCTACAGACTTAATACTTAAAGATCAATAGATAAAGTATCGATAACTTTTGTGTTTATTCGTTTAGATTAGATATTAGTTACAATTAATGTAATTTATTGTACAATGTTTAATAATAAAGTAATATATTACCTAAAGAAATCAATGATCAATATTAAGTATACATATTAAAAAAAGTATCTAGAAAATAAGTACGAGAGAGATGATTTATATATAGGAGCATTTTAAATAAATATTCTTCGATCTAATTGAGTTTTACATTAAAATAACATTATCTTTTATAATACTCAAGCGTTGACTGATTTTAATATAGATACATAATGGTGAAAGTAAAAATGTAGAAGATAATGAGACAATAGTAATTTGTGCGATTAATTGTACTTGAAAAGACGATAGTTTAGTGCGATTTTTTATATTAAACAAAAAAGAAGGTAGAAGGAAAAGAACTTTTACGCGTGATACCAAAGGACAACTCGGAACAAAAAATTTGAGGTTTTACACATAATGTCATGTTTAACAGTATAGTTATTAATATGAAAAGAAGGACAAATATACTTACAGGTAATAAACGTTCAATTTCGATACTGCATTTGTGACAAAAAAATCGGGACATTGCCCCGTCTACAACGGCTTCCGCCATCTTTTACGTGTCCTCTTTGCTCCTCTTGCCTATTTCTGACTATCGTGATGAATCGTAACCCGTCACAATTCTTGATGTACGTTGATTACGTTTTAAGCGAATGCCGAAACAGACCTGGAAAACTACTGATTTTAAATGATACCTCTACGTATCACGAGATGGCGTTTAATTAAATTAGTCGATTTGCGCATCAATCTATCATTTCGTTCGATTACAATTCTTTAGTTTTAGTTTTCTTTAGTTTTAATATATTTTGCTGTTCCCTAACTTTTATTCAAATTGTAATCTTCTTTCTCAATTATCAGTTATAAGTATAATACCATTGTGTCTTTTATTTCCATTTGTAAAATATCCGTGAAGACATTTTCTGAATAAAAAGACTAGATTGTCTTCAAAAATAAACATGTATACACTACATACATAATATTTTCGTTCGTATGCAGCAAGTAAGATGCAATCCTTTTACTTTTTATGGTAAAAGATGCACCAAACGTGCACAATTATTTACTGTATCAATCGTTAAATACGTATATACTTAGTGCATACATTTCAAATGGCTCGTGCATTTCAAATATTATACATAAGTACCTCGACATAGAAATGTAAGGTTAGGTATGCTGTGCACGTACGCACGGTTGTTTCGTGTGTATGTATGCCTTGGTCATTTATTTAGCTACTCATTTTTATTCAGGGGTCACACGATGAAAAACATTATTAATTAAAAATATACTGCAATAACAAATAGTTTTTGGAAAAATATGATTGATATGTGCGACTCTTGATATCGTATTTAGCTATCAAATTATTATATGTAATTAAATATACATTTATGCGCGTGTGCGCGCGCGCGCGTGTATGTCATTTTTTGGTACGGTGTACTCGCGTACAGTTGCATTATTTTCGAGTAGACCGTGCACGAATATCTTTGACTATGTTTGCTCTTCACCACATGTTTGATCATGCTCAAATTTGTAAAGCCTTTATATAAATATTTACGCAACTATAAGAAATTTAAAAAGGAAAAGAACGTTACATCAATTGCGGAAATTTCGTATTAAGTTATGTAACGTTCTACACGAAACTGTATTAAAAATTTTTATCGAAATTTCTTGGAAATTTTTCATTGACATATTCTAAGGAAATACCTACACATACATATGAGTGAACAAATAAATGGATATATTAATTAAAGATTAATTAAATTCAGTGCAGACTGAATAGTTAATAACGAATAGATTATGTAAAGTACTGATTTATTATAATCAAACGATAGCCTACTGACACACAATGTTCTAATACAACTTATATCAATTTATAATGCTTCACTTACACAAGTAAGCGCGATGAAGATTTCATTCTAAATCTACTCAGATAAATATATTACAATATTTTAGATCGCTAGACGAACAATCAAATAATTCAAAGTTTTGTACCGTTTGAACTACAAGAGTCTCGAACGTTTCTTTTTTTTCAAATTCATTTTAAGTACCCGCTTGTACCCTTTCTCGTCGAACGACTGTATACACGTAGAAAGAGATTTATTATATAATGAACACATTTCTTTCAAAAATGCAATACAGTCAAGTTTAATGAACACACGAAATACGTCGATTATCATAAGAAGAGATTTCGATTTTCACAGAGTCTGCTTACAGTTGGAAATACGTATATGTAGTAATCGCATATGGCTTTCATTTCACTGGTTTCACGTATGCTTCGATTCCCTTTAAATGTAATTTTATTCGTGAAGTTGGTTTTAGAACTGCTTCCTATTACTACGATCTCTCAGTTATACATATACATATGTATGTACTTGTGTTTTCATCAAGCCGAATATTTGCCTATATGAATTTTACACATATACCGAAATTAATAACTCCTTTTTCTTGAAAAAGAAGACGAAAAGGATAAGGAAACATTCGGTACATTCTTCTTCAAATTATATCAAATAATTGATATGAAACATTACATTTCACGTAATCATGTTATACCCTACCTTCCTTTCCTTTTTTTTTTCCTCTGTCTCGGTACGTAGTTATAACTGTAACTTAATAAAAAGATAATTCGTAACTTGGTATATGCAGGTATATGGAATATGTAATAATTCGATGTATGTATGTATATATATATATATAAACATCATTGTCGTTCTCCTGTGACTTTTCAATATCTTTGAATATCTTGAAACTCGAATTCTATCTATTGATATTACATATATAATTCCATATTTCCGAAAAATGAATAATTATTATAGATCGATCAAATATGTATGTATACATATATATTTTAAACTTTTCTTCGTATGGATATCTATACGGAGTCCAGTGTTTCGATTCATGTACTTATGTATGTATTTTAATTGAAACAAATAGATACTATTGCGAAGAAGATTGTCATGAAAACTTGAATCACAATTTTATATCGAATAATATAAGTTTCAAATGAAAATCAAATGTGGAAACATTTCAAAGATTACTTAGTATTTCGAATTTAAAAAACGAAAGAACATTGCTGTTTATGATATTTTAGTATTACACAAATGATAAAAACCGCGGAAATGTCTCTAACTAATATTAAAATAGACTTAAAATAATTCTTATCGAATCAAAGATATTCTAGATAAATCAGACTCGCTGCATATTGTACCTCGCCGATATATACATACCTACATATGTAAGCATGTACATACATACATATATATTGTAGAATATAGTTCAACGCAGAATCATTGTATAATTATAATGTTACGGTATGTACCATAGTTTGAAATTCTTGGCATTATGATAGACGCAATAGAAGATTATGTTATAAAAATTTTTCTTTCCTTTTCTTTTCTTTTATGGTTACCGATGTTTTCTTAGCTATTTTTCATATATTTTTCATATATTCTTTCATATGCTGAGTTTTACTCAAATGTTCACGCACGTTACTAACTAACGTTACTTGCAAAAATCAAAGCAACGAACACTTTAAACAGATCTATTTCTTCTCTTATATTAATAGAATTAACCAAGTTTTGGAAGTTTACGTTGGAAATAAGCATTACGAATGTCATAAATTAACTATTACAGAAATAATTTTTATTTTGTCGATGTTTATCTTATACATAGAATTCACTCAAATTACGAAATTCGTAACGATAAAATCGCAGATTCATTAAGGGATATAAGCAGCTTAAATATCTTTACTAGGGCTGAACACATTAAATGGTAATTTAACAACAAGAGAAATGATGGCATTGTTCTATCAGACGAATGTAATTATAATAAAAAATTGCCTCGATAATTGATTTGGTTTATTTAGGTGTTAAATGCTATATGTATATAGCCATAACTAATACGTAATGATACTTGTAACGTATTAAATTTTGTTTTGCCAATATTAAGCACAGTTTAGTACTTTTAATCATTCATAGCCGTTAACATGCCCTGCTTTGCTCATTAGTCGTAAATGATTGCCAAATAATTAATTTACCAATTTATTAATTAAGGTCTTGGGAAGAATCAAAATATTTGATCTTTTTTGATACATTATACCGTTCCAACAATAGTTTATGCGCTATATCATAATAGATTGTACACTTAGTCTCTAATTATGAATAATGAAAATATAATGGCGAAACAACATAAATCATACTAAAATTCACTAAAAAACATATAGCGCTTTGTTATCTCAAAGAAATGATTTTATGAAATGTTAATATCACTTCCTATGTATATTCGCACAGAGTTTACATATTACACTGCATTACGTAAAATTACATTGGTATCTTACGAGTAATTTTAAAAGTAATTTTTGAGGCAACGTTTTGTCACTATTACGTTCGTCCGCCCGAACTTATCCAATATTCTCTCAATTAATCACATACCTCTTATTTACATCCTTAACCGCAGCAGAACTGCAAAACGTACTCTCTGTGCATGTTTGATTAACGTAAAGTGGTAAATGTATGCAAAAATTTAATTATCAAAGGAAATTAGTAACTAGCAATTGTTAATTAATTTTTGCAACTTATTACTTTTACATTGCTATATACTTTTCAATATATAAACAATAATTAGATAATAAATATGTGCTTTTGCATGAAATAACAAATATTTATGGTCACACAAATATTTGTGAAAATAATTACAATTAATAAATAATTGTATTTTTCTTACAATTGATTAACTAACTGAATGATTAAAGTATTTCACAAATACAACAAAAATATAAAATAACACAAAAGTACAATAGATTAAAATGACGATGAGATTAATAATGTCATAATGATAATAAAATGCTTATTAATTTTTGTTAACATATTATCAATAATTAGTCATCCTAGACCTTACTAATTTATAGAATATTTGTAATAATATAAAAAAATGTCTTACATTAGGAAAGGAATTTTAGTGAAATATATATGATTAGTGACATACATCTCCGACTTGATTCAAATAGAAATATTTGTATATCGTTAAATATGATCAGTCTGATTCTTAAATTCTATCCGTAAACTAAAATATATTATAATTACTAAATATTGCATGCTTCAGGGGACCATTTAAAAATCATTAATCACCGATTAGAGACAATGAGTATTTCACTCATGCGTGGATCATACAAAGTATGTTGTTACAAACAATCCCCAATAAGAAAAATCTTTCTTCTCACTTTACACAGAGTATAATTGTATAGACTTAAAAACGTTTATCCTTATACCAAAATGTTAAACTTAGTCGTTAGAAATTTCCACCATATCTTATGTGAGTCAATTGTCTGAATGTAAAATTTGTGTAACTACAATCATACTTTCCATTAAAAATCCATGAGAAAAAAAGCTCATAAAAAGAACGTTTTACATACGAAATAAGACATTTTCCCGAGTGTCGATTTAAGAGTTTTAAGACGAATATTATATCTTGTATGCGTGTAACATACAAATGCACGAACGCTCGCATACATAACAGTGAAATATAATAGAATAGAGTCAACATTCACACGATAAGTGGAAGAAGCATAACATATATGTATTAAGGCTGATTTAGGCTATTTGAACCAATAGATCTGTTTCAAGCATATGTATATACAAATCGTAAAACAATTTCTATTATTTAACATATTGTACGCTTATGTTTCATGCTAAATGAACGGCAAAAATTAACAAATGTGTTGAGAAATCAGCTAAAATGAATATATTTATGTAATTTTTATATAACTTGGAGGTTGTACTCAATATTGATATGTATTCTTAAAAGACTTCAAAACATATATATATATATATACTTGTGCACTGCACATTATCTAATAGATTTACTTTTGTCCATTTTCGTCAGAATACCAGAGTATGGAAAGAAAATTTATATGAAAATATTTTCAATTAAGTTAGAATATCGTGTTTAAATATCA